ACGTACACTGTTCCAGCACGCGCGCGGGTACGCTGCTCTCGCGCTCGGCTGCAACTACACCAGACGACCGCTAAACTAACAAAACAAACCAGCATGCATCGACATCCACTTTTAAGTATACACTGCAATCTACTATGTACATGGTATTAAATATTATTAAACAACTTATTATTGGACTAATGATTAAGTCAGATAAGTATTAAAATTGATCTGATTCTGATTAAAATTAAGATCTGATTTGATTAAAGATCTGATTAAAATTGTGTGTGCGTGTGTGTGTATACGTACGGACTCATGCACAGCTACAATAGTCCAATGACACTGTTTACACGAGACATCGTGCATCAACAACACAACATCAACAACGTGCTTTGACTGGTCTCATTTTAACTGACTGCCACAGTAAGTTAGTTCTTAGCGAATAGAGTAAGACTTTGATTATACAATAATTTGGATAAGGGATTTTTATCTCATACTTTTTCTTTCTGTTTGGTGCAAGAACCCCTCCCTAAGCCATGTAAAAAACACTAACGTTATTATGATTATGCTCTTCCTATTGAATTTTATATTTTTGCCCCATCACTGAGTCATTGGAGCAACTGTGCTAAATATAATATAGCCAAAATGTAAATAAGTTATTTGCATTTATTGCAAAAAATTACATGAAACTTATCACATTAGCAGAAATTACATACAATTATCTGTTAAATAAATGTCAAGATTTAAATAATATACTACCAATATTTGCAATATCTGATATTTTTTATTTATTTATTTTTTTTAATAACTGATCATTTGTCCACTTTATTGGGGTGTGGAGTAAGGTTAACTTACTGAATCTTACCAAACTCATCAAAGAGTTTCAGCACAACGTAAGACTTTATGTAAGACAATGACGTTTAATAGTCTAACGTTACTGCTTGATTTTGATTAACGTTAGATCATCCTTTCGTATTACGTTAGTGCACCTTGCACCCACAATGAGTTGCAGCTCTCCGTTCCTAACGTAAGTTACATCTGCCGCTTTCTAACTCGATGCAGGGTAAATTTGCCAACATACCTCGTTATTGATGAGGACCTCGGCACGCGGATCCGTATGGGATAGTCGTGGTATCGGTCGGGTTGGGAAAGTATATTGTCGAAACTGCGATTCATTCCAGCCTGAGTCGCGTAGATCCGTGAAGGCGACGGCGGGGGCGGCAGCTCCATCGGTCTCCGCTGAGTCCGCTCCAGCCACGGTCGCGGCTGCCATGTCCTCCGCCTGCGGATTGTGTTTACTTCACAATGAAGCTGCACGAGGCTAACCGGCACAGCCGTTGAGATGAAAGAGGAGCAGCGAGCGCAAAAACCGCTCCTGGGCTTTCACACACCCCGCCGAAGCACGAACAAACGAGGGCGACCCGAGCAGTCATACAAGCAGAGTGAAACCAGAAATATTGATGATGTTTCCCACCGGAAGTGTTTTTTTTTCTTCTTTTTTTCAAAGTAAAAGTCGCTGAACCGTTGGACGCCGGATGTACGAATGAGCAAAAAACATGTAACAAAAATGTCAGTCATTACAAAAATATAACTCAATACCACGGTGTTTCCAACAGTTGTTGTTCGCTGATCTATTTTTTAAAACCAGAATCAATTAGTCCTGAAAGCTGTAAGTTATGTTTATTGAAATAGAAGATCTGTTAAATATCTTTTCATTATATTTACCCTTTAATTAAACAAAACAATAAATAAATAAAATATCTCACTGTCCCATATAAGACTTGCCATCCAAATCAAAGATTATTAATCGAAAGAAAAAAGTGCAGAGCTGCAAATCGAACAGTAGATGGGGATATTTGACAGCGTGGTGGTCGGTGATGGGAAAGAATATTCTAGGTTCATTTTGGTTAGCCTGGGCTTGTACCATGATGGTAGTTGAACAGCTCAGCGTTGCAGGATGTGTTTCGAGTTGACAAAATCAAACCAATCCAACCAGGGGCCAGTTTCAGAAAGCAGGTTAAGTGAAACGAAAAGTAGGTTAACCCTGAAATGAGGGAAAGTTTGGGTTTTCCGTTTCAGAATGTGAGGTATGTCAAACTTGAGAAAGCAGAGGTTAAGCCAGTTTCTGAAAGAGAGGTAACTTATACTCAGAGTCAGTTACCATGGTAACTAACCATGTGAACCAGGTTTTCTTCAGTAAACCTAGAGTTTATCTCCACCTCCTTATTAAAGAGGAAGCAGAGTTTAAAAACCTCATTCTTTCAGTACATTTATTCATTGTTCATTTATTATATACTCCTGTTTTCTACTTTTTTAATGGGATCAAGTCTAAATAACTCCTTAAATGGCAACTAAAAACAGTACATTAGAATTACATCATAGTTCTAAACATGTTCTACAGAATCGTTTGGGGGGGGGGTTGATGAGAATTTCCATTTAGATATAAAGTTAGATTCTAGGCTACGCCACATAGAAATGTGAATGTGTAGATTATTTGCTGCACATAATATTAACATGTAACGTTTGGCCTCTCTGTGGCAGAACAAACTCTTTCTTTATCCCCATCGTCATGTGAAGATTAATATTTAATTGAGTAAACTTTATAATTCAATTTAATACTACTTGTTATCATTTTTGGTGTATTGGGTACTTGTAACTGCCTCTTGTTAGTGGCAATCATTAGTTCACCAGCAGATGGAACTATTATGCCAAACACAAATATTTCTCAAAGTGCACCTGTTAATACAAATAAATGTTTTCATGCATCTGCAAAGACAGATATTTAAAAACAACAACTGTGCTATCCTTGTGTGAATAGCTGACAACATTAGCAATAGGTATCAAATAACTCCCCATGATAAAGCTTTAAATATTTTAGCTGTGATTTAGGGGTACAATCTTTAATCTGGAAGTCATGTGAACCAACTGATGTACACAACTAGGGAAATGTCAAAGGGAGAAGACAAATAGTGCTTTCCCACCCACCACCTCACACACACCCATGCTGACCTTAGCCACCTCTTAGTGTTCTTCCCCCAGATGTCTTAAGTCTTAAATCCTATTAGTCAAGGTTTCTCAGAGCCATTAAATGTAATTTTCCCAATTTCTATGGATTGCTTCATCATTTAAGTGAGCTGAGAGAGTAGGCTATATGCACAAAAGCCACTCTGCATATCATTCTCAACACATCAAGTGCAACATTGCATAAGCAGGATATTTTTTTCATATAATCCTTATATTACAATATAAAAATATATATATATTTGTAATAGATATTTATTAATAGTAGCAATGCACACATTTCTACATAGAACTGTCACTGAGTACATCTCAGAATTCAAACTGACAACCAAGCTGACATGGTACATGCCAAACATGACAAAGACTAATCTTGTTCTCTTCCAGTGCGTCACCTCACTCTCAGCCACCTCAAACTCAAGCCCCACTGCAAATCATCCATGGCAAGGCCAACCTTCCAGTCATGACCCTGCTTTCATGTGAACAAATAAAAAACGGAAGTTTAGCAGTAGGGTTTAAGGTTGAATCAACTGGGGCTTGATTTTTAAACCATGCCTTTGGGCCATTTTATCACTTAGCTTGGCTAATTTTGAGATTTACTTCCTCTTATTTTGTATTTGATATCATAGCTTGGCAAGAGGAACAAGTTGAGTTTATGATTTGCATGCAATTTTTCTAAGGGGACAGATCTGAACAAATAGACTATATAAAATACTGTAGGTATTTATTGGCTGTTTCCAGTCCTTGATTATTTATGCTAACTTTACTTTAATTACTTTAAAGATTAAGTGAAATTTTAATGTGAATACGAAAATACACGTATAACAGTGAGTTGCTCTTACTGCCTAACCTAACAAATGACATGGTGTAAATTGTAGGAGGGATTTAGCTTCAACTCAAAATTAGCAAGGTGTCAAGGAGAGTATTTTTGAACTTTATTTTCGTAAATAAGATGTCAATGAGGTGCGCATCAGGAAAAGCTATCACCAATAAAAAAAGACTGAATTCAGGATTTTTTTTTTGGACAACTTTTAAAGAGCCACAGTTTTGTCTCTGTGTTTTACTGTAGGGTTGGCACTTCTACAGATGGGACGGTAGCTGGCAAGTATTTGTTTATAAACCCTACTTGTTTGGGTACAATACTTGAACTAACTTCTATTCAGCAAACAGTGTGAATCCATGCAAAGCCTTTTCCCAAAGTCCTTTTGAAGGCGACAGCCCATTGATGGAGGAGGAGAGAGGGATTAGCGTCTTCAGCAGCAGTGCATTTCCGAGGGAGCTGATTAGCTCGCCATTCATTGTTAAATCGAGCAAAGGAAGGCCCTAGAGGACTGAAAAGAGCCAAATAGGTGGGCCTGGAATAAAACATCCACAGGAAGCCCAACACAGGCTACATGAAATTTTCCCAACATTTTTTTTTTCTCCCGAGATGGTGGCATGAAAAAGGAGATTAGCATACAAAATTAGATGCTAGATGATTTGTGGGGCGACTTGGTTCATGTTTTCCCTCTGTCTCAACAAAGTTAATTAAACTAGTCTTAAAAAGTAAAGAAACATCCAAGCGCAAAAGCATTGGGAGTGCTTTGAGGATTACCAAGACAGAAAAGGAGGCATTTGTGAAGAAGAAATTGAGAGAGGCGTGAAGGAAGGAAGACTATAATTAAATGCTCTCTCTCATTGTCTCTCTGCCCCAGGGTTATGTGACATCAAGCTGAAGAATACAGAAAGAAAAGGGTTATATATGCCCAAGACAAAGAAATCATTAGGTCGGACCAACAGTCTACGGTAAATAATTAAATTTTACAGTGTGTGGACCTGGGATTTACGATATGGTCTTTCTTTTTTTTTTTTTACATTTAAAATGTCATTATTATTATTATTATTACGAATCACATTTATTTCTGAGCAAAATAAATTAGCAGAGGATGTTTTGCTACACAAACAACACGTGGCTCAGTTAATTGCATTCATCTGACCTATTAATGAATGAAAACATTAAAAGATGATACCTATTACATAATTTTAATTATGAAAGCAAAGTAAAAAAAAAACACATAGAAAGAAACTATCATAGAAAAAAACAGCACTATAGTATCTGTGCAATAAATTAACAATATACAAAGTGCTTCCTCTTATTTACAGTTCATATACAGTATCAGGGTAAAACTATTATCAGAATGCAAAAAACAAACAAACAGACAAGCAATGATTCTGATGGAAGCTGGAGAAGTGGCGTGTATATCGTGAATTCAAAACTCCTTTAAAATGTAGCATTCCAATAAATGATCCATCAAAGTACATCACTGTTGGTGAATGAAAAGGTTATTCACAGTCTAGTGTGCTATATATTGGTTAGATGCGGTGTTCAGTGCTATCCTACAATGTATACAGGAGTCATTTTGAATTGCTTAGATGAAATAATACAGATCAAATATGTGTTTAAAGTATCAGCTCTGGAAGGTGTCCATTAAAGTCTGTTTTTGCACAAAAACATCTGTTTAACTTCTAGACCACCGTAGCGGAACAGTCCAGGACTAGATCTCTAGTGCTTCTTCTTCAACCTGTAGCTTTTCCTGCGGCTGGCACTATCGTTCGTGACCCGTTTGGCCCTCTTCACACAATAGTACTTTGTGACAGTTTTGCGGCACTGCTCGCATTTTACAGCGCAACACCAGTGGAACTTGCAGTTGCAGCTGGACACGGTCTCGGCCCTGCGTTCCTCCACAGCCAGGCCGCACTCGCCGCACAGCCGCTTGCAGCTCCGCTTCTCCCACTTGCTCAGATTCTTGCCCTTCCTCAAGCACTCACGGCCCTCGGTGCCCGGCAAGCCCAGGGTGCGGTTCTCCAAGCAGTAGTCGGGGGAATCCTCCAAGTGCACCAGTTCTTTCCGCGAGATGGAGCTGAAGGTCTCGGCTATCGCCCCGCGGCTGGCTGCGCTGTTGCCCGCGCCACGGAGCAGGTCCACCTTCACGGCCCTGTGATACTTCTCCTTTAGGTAGTTGCCCACCTCGCGAAACTCGGGCAACTGCAGCCAGCAGGTCTGAGTGGTGCAGCTGCCAGACACTCCATGGCACTTGCACGTCCTCTGCATGGTTCCTTTCACTGCCTGGTTGAAGAGAGGATCTCACGTTAAAGAACACATTCATTCTATGTTTCAAAACATTCTAATTAGGATTGAACTCATCAGTCGAAATCTACAATGCGCTCTTTATAGGCACCCTATACATCCACTTAAACAAGCAGAAGGAAACTCTGAGTTAAGAGGAAGTGGTTCAAAGTTCAAGTCTGGGGATTTCTCTTTTCTTGGTGGTCGTACGAGAATTCCTGACTTCGGCTGAAACAAACAGCTGTCCTTAAAAAAGGAACGCCTCTTTTCTCATTCAGGCGGCGTAAGACGCAGAATCAGGGTTTCACATCGAGCTGGATTGTTAGGCGCAGGAAAGGGGTGTATTTATTTTGCATAGCCATTGTCAACATGTTTTCTGTCATAGGCAGCCCCAGTGGCAAGTCCATTGAGGAGGAAGTGAAAAAGAATTCTTTCACATTTTTTCAGTTACAATGATGCTCCAGGTGCCAATGAATTGACAAAACCTGCAGACGGGGCACAGACAGGATAAACAAAGAGCACTTGAGCCACACGGCTGTGATCCCCGTGGCTCTCTCAAGTACAACAAAGACCAACATAAATGTAAGATCCTTATTGCAAGAATAAAACTAAACACTTATTTGGGAAGCAACAGAATACAGAACCTTTGCAATGTGCGGACCCCTAGGTCGTCTAATTAAGCTTGCACCACTGATCCCAAGAATCTCAAGTTAAGGCCTCGTCATAAAGGACATTCACAGGCTGTAAATAGGCCCTTCTGGTACAGCGCACACTCTATTGGGAGAACGAGTGGCACCTTGCTTACGGGGCTGTGAATGAAACTCTTGGGTGGTAAGCTATCATTAGAAGCACTGAAAAATGATTCAAAAGCCACTCTGCGAGCTGTTGGTGGCCAACAGACATGCCTGAAATTTAGGCCCCAGACAGCCCAGATGACTTCATATACCTTGCGTCCTACTTCGTTGTTGTGCAGGTTCATGGCGGCTCGGGCGTCCTGTCCGGTTTCCAGTGCGTCCACGAACTGCTTGGAGATGGCCTCTCCGAATCCTACGTTATCGCTGCAGCCTCCCCATAGCCATCCCTGACCACCTGTGATGACAACAGAATGCTTTTGCTAGACTAAATTGAACATTTCTACTTATGTGACATCTAATTTTTGTAAATTCATTTCCTGCATTTATGGCACAACATTGATTAGCCTACCAGAAAAAAAATATTTCCACTTGTCCATCCTTTGTCGGTATTTTACACTTAAAGCCCTGTTTTAAGATCGTTTCTGATGAACAGTTAAGATTGAAATTTGGACACATGCTGCTGGCCCCATAAAACGCATTAAACTTTAGTTTACAAAGACGAGAAACTCACGAGTGATAAAACCTGTTGGAAAGCATATTTTGCAGTGATTTTTGTGTGAGCATAACAGTGAACACGCTGAGTTTCACGTCTTTGTAAACTAAAGTTTAATGCATTTTAGGATTGTTCCTGTGCACCTATGCAACCATTGTGGAGGTGGGGGGGGGGGGGGGTGCAACCACAAAAACCAAAAATTCTCGGGGCCAGCAGCATGTGTCCAAATTTCAACAGAAATGTCATTGTTCATTGTCCTTTAAAAACTATGAGTGGGGCCAATTATTGGAAAATTTAAGAGCAAAAATTTGAAGCTTATATAGGCTATAATTATATTTATCCACTTCAAAAGTAGGGGTTAGTAAGATTTTTCTTTGTTAAAAAAAATCAATACTTTTATTCAGGGATGCATTAAATACTATTCTTGTGAATTGCATATTCATCAAAGAATCCTGAAAAGAATATTAAGCAGACTTTGTTTTATGTATTCTTACGTAGCCCTCAAACCGGATTCACTTTATAGCCCTTAATCCTGCAATTGTGGACAAATGTGGGCACAGAGGACTCAGGTGTGATCCTAATTTTTATTTATTCTAAATGTTATATCACTGTCTTCGATAAAGTTTTGCTTATCCATTTATGGTGTGTTTTTTTTTTATTTTGGGGGTATTTTTGAATTTATTTACTTCAAAAAGTACCATATTTTCAATGTAAATTATTTCAATGTAAATTAACTACTATGTAGTTTTCTTTATTTATTTTTTTAACTACATTAATATATCATTCCAATAAGTTCTTAGAGCTAAAGATGAAGTGACTGCTGTCACTTGGTGGCTTATTTTGGCTTATTTTAGAATTCTCTGAATAGTTTTTCCCATTCATTTCTATGGGTGTCCATTTTTGACCCAAATACAAGATTAAGGAGGGTTTTTTTCACCCACTTAACATTGTAGAATTGAGTAAAAAAAAAATTGTGTGTGTTCAGGAGGCAAACTTAGGAAAAGTAGCCTAGTCTTGTACCGCTCAGATGAAGGGAAGCATTTTTTTAAAATAAATCAAAATTATTTTGCCCACATTTGTCCAGAATACGGTTTTAGGGTTAAAACAATAATAACAAATGTTTCTTGTGCACCAAATCAGCAAATTTTAATGATTTCTGAAAGATCATGTTAACTGAAATCTGGTAGCCTGGGTAGCCAGCACGATTTTATTCACTCTGCTAGGCAGCCTGGACACCAGGAACAAGATAGGGGACCAATCACAGAACAGGGAGGGAGCAGCAAGATGTTGACGGCGTACATGCGACTCACCGAAGCAGTTTGTTTATATCTATGGAACCATCTTGGCAGCGGACCGGACGCAAAGTTACCTTTTGATACAGGCTTTGTGTATACATAAATCTCCTAAATCTCTGACCCGTAGTCTTCTTCCTCGTCTAATTTTATGTCGCTCTATGTCATCTGGTATCATTGAAACGATTGGCTATGAGCTGCGTACAGGCAAATTTGATAGACATTCGTAGCACCCAATAATACAGCTCTGGCCATTTGTAAACCACGCCTCAAATACGAGAAAATGAACATGTGGTTTTCAGACCACGTCTCATTCTCAATGGTACGTGGTCTAGAAAACTGGAGTAATGATGCTGAAAATGCAGCTTTGCCATCACAGGAATAAATTACATTTTAAAATGACAATATGAAACAGTTACACAATATTTTACATTTATTTGATTTTTTATCATGTCGTTCTAAACCCGTTCCAAAAAGAGGTTTAGTCCAAATTTCATGAAGATCACTTTATATGATGAACAAATTGAATTTAGGCTTTTATTCACATAAAAACTGATCAGGGAAGCTCAACGAACCTGCCTGATGCACGAGAACAAACCTCATTGGTTGTTGCGGAAACTCAAACATTCTGCATAACACAAGAATGAAGCTCATTGGTTCACACACATCAAGCAAACATGGTTGATCGTCCGTTTACCACAACTGATGTGTGAGTTTGTGAAAATGTATATGTGAATAAAAGCCTAAATTTAATCTGTTCATCTTATAAAGCGATCATGTCTCTTCAGAAAAATCGGACTAACCGCTCAATTCATTTGGATTAGTTTAACGATCTCTTCATGCGTCTAAGTGATGCGTAGCTGTCAATGGAGGGGCAGAAAGGCCATCAAAAATATCTTCATTTGTGTTCCAAAGATGAACAAAAGTCTTACAGGTTTTGTTACATTGTAGGTGACCTATACCTTTAATTCTTCTGTTAAAACTTGTGTTTTATTTGAACTGTGATGTTGTTCTCATCATGTCTGTTGTTTTAGGGTTTTACCCATTACATTTTCATAGGAACAAAGTTGTAAAACTGAATATAACTTTACAGAAAAAAAGGTTAGTAAGTGATTGTCTACATTAAAAACATGCTTAACCCAGAACATTGACTTTCCATCTATGTTGAGATGTAGTTTATCACCTCGCTGGCCGTTCCTGGTGTCATCACATCCGCAGTTGTCAAAGTCACCGAGGCTGCAGTTCCTGGTGAGCGTATACATGACTCCAGCAGAGCTGATGGCATGGAAAAACGCTGTTTCTCTGTTTGCTGTGATTAGAAACAACACTGAAATGAATATTCTGTGCAAATGCCATTTTATTTATCTGGTCAACATTAGCGCATGTGATTTTTACTAACATCCTGAACACCATAAATCATGATTTACTCAGATGCTTAGCATCTATCTCAGTATAGGGATGGCTTTTGACTTTTGATGGCTATTTCCCCTGCACCGAACAGAGAGGAGCGCTGTTGGTCTACACTCATATACACGTATTGTCGGTCTGGGGTCGGCACTGGACTGCGACAGGTTCCCTCTTTGGCACTTAAGGAATGCTTAATGAAAGGAGTCTGAAGTAAACCTTTGACCCACACCCTTTGACTTGAGAGGGCGTCCATTTCACTCACTCATTCGAATGCACAATGTCCCCTTGGTGGCTTTTCTACTTGCCTATTAACAGACCGGGTTTAATTGACTCAAGAATGCAGTGTTTTCAGGCACATCAACATTGGGAGATGCTTCTCTGTGGTTTAAACAGGATCAATGTGTTTGTTTTAAGAGCCGTTTCTGTGATTGATACAGATGGGCTTTGAGTCACTAAACACACAGTAAACATAACACACACTTGCACTTTTATTCTATTAAAATGTATGCATTTTTAAAGATCTGAAAGCACAATATACATAAAACGATCATCAACAAAGGTCATAGTTCTCACCGCTTCTGAGTCCACTGTGGGTGGAGAGCTGAAGAGCCCTCTCCGGGCAGTTCCAGCGGTCCCACGCAAACTGATACTTGCACTCTTCAATCCCACTTTGAGCTCCTGCGGCCACACTGCTGGAGTAGATCAAGTAGGCCTGAAACAATGCAAACCACACAAAAAGATTTGGGATGAAATACACACTCACTATGAAGTGGTTACAAAAAACAAATGATACTTTTTTTATTATTATTATTCTCAGCATGCACAATTCATATAAAAATGCACCTGTATGTTAATGTATTAAATTATTATATTTAAAAGTTGCTGTGGAACAATAGTGAAATATTTACATTTAATATTTAATCCATTTAAATCTTTAACATAATTCGTAAAATTATCATATATATAATGGAGATATAACAACAGATATAATGGAGACATTTTCATGCTTTTTGATTTTTTAGGTTAACATTTCACAATAAGGTTTCAAGCTTTTTTTAACATGAACTAAGGGTTAACAGTTCTTCTACAGCATTTATTAATCTTAGTTAATGTTAACATTTACTAATGTATCATTAAAATCAAAAGTTGTATCAGGTAACATTAGTCAATGCACTGTGAAATAACATGAACAAACAATGAACAATTTTTATTTTATTAACCAACATTAACAAATAACATATCCATCATAGTAAGTTAATTAATGCGTTACTTAATGTTAAAAAATTAGTATTTATAGTTAAGTGTTACCTAAAAATATAAAAAGCACAAAAATGGCCTCACTGTCTAATAATTATATTCAAGTTTTAAATATATGTTATCCACAGTGGTCTAAAATACATGTTTAAAAAAGAGCACCAAAACGACACATTAGAGAATAATTGTTTGTGTGTGTGTGTGTGTGTGTGTTTAATGTGATTGCTTTTTCTTCTTCTTGTAGTTCCACAATGATACAAGCTCAGAGATTGATCAGAAATGCACACAAAAAGTAAACAAAAAGGGTCTATGTGACTGTGAAACTGTGGTTCATACAATCTAATATGTCTCAAGTGGTTTAGAAGAGACAGCACCACAAGTGCTCTCACGGGCGGCTGGGTTGCTAATGATGACCACCCACCAAAGGCCCCTTCCCTTGCCACTCAGTAAAAAGTCCTCACAACTTCACATTGTGAATGAGCTGAAGTGTGTGAAAGCTATATGGTCCAGTCCACCCCAAGCAGCAAGTAATACCTAATCCACAAAGATACATGTTCAAGAAATAAAGCACCCATGGTGGTGTGCGAATCTTTTTAATTTGCCACATTTGCTTGCAATGTGATAACGGGGTCACCGTCAAACATTAACTACCACATCCATAAATGATTTCGACATTTTGAAGTTTCTCTTCTGGTAAAGATCAGCAAAGCAGATGAAAACATGGTGGCTTACCTTTGGGCCAGTCATCAGGAAATTATTCACTGACCTGGAAGATAGAGCAGCCATTAAGTCAGATGACCCAAAAAAATATGTTCCCTTTGAAATTTCAACACTTCAAATAGATAAAACATCATTTTTAAACATTTTTAAATAAGTTTATCTAATTACAAATAGGCATACTGATATTAAAAGTACACTCTTAGAAGAAAATTTTCTATATAGAACCTTAAAATGTTCTATCAGCGCTACGTATTTGGAACCCCTAAAAGGTTCAGGAGCGTTTTTAAGGGTTCAATAATAAGAACCCTTCAGGGTTCTCTAACCAGGAAAACGGTACTGTATGGAACCTTTTGGGTTCATTCATTATCATTTGTTTTGTCCTTACCGGATTAAATATTTCATATTATTGACAAACATCAAAACTCTAAAATGTATTTATGAAGGCATGTGAATGATCACAAAATTCAAGATATGGGAGTTAGAAAACATATATATTTAAATAATTTTAAGTAGTTAATCAATATCACACGAAGAGTGCCATTTCAGTTTTTCTCCTCCAAGAATCAGCATGATTTAAATGTGTTATTAAGTTACTACAACAGTTTAATAAACAATAATTTAATTACAACTACAAAATATTGCAGAATAATGTAGTATATGAATTAATAATAGCCTGGTAAAGGGTTGTTTCCTGTCATTATAGAAACTTTTTTTAGCATATAAGGTTCTTTGGAGTTGAGTAAAGAACCCTATGCTATGCTATATATATATATATATATATAGCCTATAACAATGTAAGTTTAAAAAAAGAAAAACATCGCTTCTCCTCATGCATGCTAATTAATGAAACGAGGCTCTTCTTTATCACGGAAAATAACAGAAAACTGATCAATTGAAGTCTCTGTTTTTTTTTTTTTTTTTTATTCAGAGATTAGCACAGCATGTAATCGTTCGATAAAATCAATTAATTAATCAATCGCCAGCCAAAAATAAAATGAAACGCGGAACTCACCAACTGCAGCAAGACTTCATGTGAGCCATCAGGATGAAAGCGTAATAATAAAACTCCAAATGCATGAACATCCTGAGAGAGAGGACTGGCAGACTTATCTTCACCTTGGAAAGCAGAGGGGTCTGCAAGAGCTCTATATAACCTACATCCAGAATTCAGAGGCTGGGGGTCTCATGTGTGAGCCAAGGGGGTTCTGAAATGGAGCTCCTCTCATCCCAACAAGAGATTATCTACTTAATTAAAGATTTTCCCTTTTCTTACTCGTTCAGCCAATCAGAACTATTGTACCAGAGAGAGATTGAAATGATCAAAAGGGCACCCTGGGCTCCTCCAGGACAAATAGCTGGGAAGAGCTCCCTGTGTGCTAACAGTTGGAGTGAATTAATATGAAATCAGGATGGCATCTCTAAGGTTGTGCCTTAAAACTCAATTTCAAGAGCAGCATGAAAGGAGCTGATACAGTATGTGGTTGATAACACTCAGGGGATTACTGACATTATCTACTAGATCAAACGACTAATGTTATTTGTAGCGTTCGCAGGAATTTATAGGCAATTCAGATTTATGAAGATTAGAATTTTAGATCCGCTGAAACTCGGTTAAATAGAAAGGCTGATAAATTACATTTCAGTAAAATTATATTTAAAAATAAATGTTTTGTTTAGCCTGACTGTGTTAGCTATGTAACGGCACAATGCTAAATGTATCCATGCGCGCGAGTGGTAAACAGCTGGAATTAACATAGATGAGGGGGATAATTGTGTTTGCGTTTTAGGAGGACTTCATAAAATTGTTATTTTACCTTTTCTCTCAGTTTAGTTCTTAGCTGACGCTTCATGACCTTTAGGTTCAGCTTCTTTGACGTCCGCGTATCTTCTCTTGTGCAAATTAGGATTAGGAAAGTTATTTGGGAGATTCCAGAGGGATGTTTTTGGATTAGGCTTTGAAAGGCTTTCATATGATTTAAAGCAAATTTGCTATATTCTAAATCTACGGTTTGGTCTATTTGAATGCCAGTAGATTAATGTTCTCAATGAAAATGTTATACAAAATATATATTCATAATTGTAAATTGATGTTGCAATGGACTTTTAACTTAAAATAATATGTAAATAAGCATACATTTATTTTGTGGTTTTAGCATGTGCTAGCAAGTTTTTATTTTTCCCCCATAGATGAAATATAAATAAAAATAAAGTAGCCTACCAACAATGTCATTTTTCAGATTTCAATTTCAATAGGTTAACTATTTTCTTTTCATTTAGGGGTCCATAGAAAATCGTTATTTTATGTTCAAACATCCATTTATCACAAAGATTTATGAAAATACAATCCGGTCAGGGTTCCAAAAGAAGGTTCGTGGAGACTACATTTTCAGACATACACACATTTTATTCAATTAAGAAAAGATTAATATTGATTCATAACAAAACTCACGGAACAACTCGTAAAACTCTCCCACTTCTAGAAATTTTGGTTTATGGTACATGAAAACATTCCTTGAAAATGTGCCCATTAAGGCTCCCAGACATCAAAGGTCACTGTACAAATAATTGAGCTGTAAAATAGTCAATTTGTCTTAGTCTTCTTCCTAAACATGGGTGAATGTTTTAAATATAGCATTTGGTGAGAATGTTTTTCTTATATTTGGAGAAATCTAACAACCTATCAAACATTTATGAGAAGCAATATTTGTAGGTTATCATTCATTCATCACAGAGGAGCCAAGAAAAGAGCCCACCCCGAATGATAAAACTTCATTATTTTAGAACAATTCTTCTGATGCGATACATCATTTTTACATCAACCAAAAATCTCCCTATTCTATAAGGCAAAGGGCAAGATATTATCTGATGAAGACAATTTAATATTATATAATAAGGACAAATAAATGTCCTGTAATAAATCTGGTAGAATAAATGCACCTTAATACATTTACCTCAACAGATACATTTCTTTCAAAATATTTTCCACAATACTTGAAATAGTCATTTGGTGCTTCAATGTATTTAATTAGAAAAGAGGTCACCATATTCCTGGTCATCACATTTGCCAGGTACTCTTTTACAGGACCAAAAGAGGACATGGAAACCAGATAGAGAGCTATGCAACATGAAAAATGAAATACAACTTTCTGATGAATTGCTCATTTCACTTGAGGAAATTCCATAACCACCACTGATCTGAAAACATTTCCATTGGCATGTAGAATAATTTATTTAAATAATAGTAATGTGAATAAATATAATCAATAATGAACGTAAGATGTATTTACATCTATAGGCATACTGTCAGTACTAACAAAACTATTCGAAAAATAACTTATCACCGATGATCAATTGTGTACACTGTTAGGTGTATCACCTAAGAAAATGTAGTGGCAATAAATTAATAGCTTAACTTAATTTTACAGCTTGCATAGCTCTCTGGAATGATATTTTTTTCTAAATCAGAACCGTAACTGCTAAGCCAGATAAACCTATTCATGAGAGGGGCAGTAATGAGGCACATGGCTGTTTAACTAGTGAAGTACCATCTCTTGCCTCTTGAGGCAGACTGAGACATAATTATCCTCCCAATCTATGGCCTTTACCATCTCCAACAATAATCCCCCAGAGTCATGAAAAGGAAAGAATTCTTAAGAACACATATTAGTCCAACACACTCTAGAGCTTCTTATTTCATATGAGAGTGTATACAGAGATCAATCTTCACTGCACACTAAGAAATGCTTTTGTATATGTTGGCTTATAACCTTTTTTTTGTTTGTTTTCTTTGTTTTTGATATGTAATGATCAAATCAACCACTTTTGTGGCTGCCATCACCGGTGCGTTGAGCACGGGCTATGATGGTCTCGTGAGTTACCCTCTTGCATTCCTTCGCCAGCCCAAAGAAGCACATAAGATCGATAAAAGCTTTGGTCAGGTTCAGCCGACTGCCAAACTCACTTGTAGCATAATCATGGGGGAATGTGTGATGATAGTTGTGAAATCCTTCACCTGAAATTAAAATGCATATTTAAAATTTATTTCAAATAAATGCTGTTTTTTCTATTCATCAGTAATCCTGAAAAAAAAAATTATCACGGTTTCCACAATAAACAGCAAAACTGTTTTTAACATAGATAATAATAAGAAATGTTTTTGAGCATCAAATCAGTGTATTAGAATGATTTCTGAAGAAATATTCAGTAACACATTACAAGTAACTTAATCAGATTACTTTTTAAGGTAGCGAGTAAAGTAACACATCACCTTTAAATTTACAACAACATATCTGAGATAATTTTAGTTCAGTAACGAGCGTTAATTTGTTGTTTAATTTTGCCGTTTATTGACTTGTCCTATACAGTCGTGAATTTGCATTTTCTTCAATCACTTTTTTTGGTTACCAAAAACAATACAGGCCCAGCCTAGGTGATAAAAAGTAACACAAAAAGTATCTTATCATAAAAATTCACACAATTAGTTACCTCTCCAGGGAGTAACACAATACTTGGGTTATAAGTATTGCTTATATAAATAACTTTCCCCAACTCTGATGATCATGTGACACTGAAGACTAGAGTAATGGCTGCTGAACAATCAGCTTTGCCGTCCCGTCACAGGAATACATTACATTTTAAAATACATTCAATTAGTAAACAGTTACTTTAAATATCAATACTATTTCTGTCATTTTGATAGGCTTGGTGAGCAGAAAAGACTTCTTAAAAACAAATATTACTGACCACAAACTTTTGAATGGTACATACTGTTGTTGTTTGGTATTCTTGCACATTCAAATACAAATATCCTGTAACTTTTTTGTGTGATTGATGTGTCTGTACAGCTTTAATAATACTCATATTCACTTAATATATACAATTCATATATTTTATTAAAAAAAAACATAAAGCAACTTAACTGCTTCCATATTTTACATATATATTAAGTAAATGTGCAAAAAACAAGAGTTATTGATTAATAAATAATGCTGGAAAAGAAAAGATATTGTTCTTACCAATGGCACTGAAGGCAACAAACTTGTTCTCTCTGGGATTGATGCTGTTGTCATAGGGCCTCATTCCCCACATGTGAGCTGCACTGTTGACCAGCCAGGTCGCATTAAGGACCACAGTGTATCTCAACAGACAAGGGACAAAGTAACTGGTCAAAAGACTCTCTTCCCAAAAGTACCACGGTACAAGCGTGGGGATGAGAAAGCACATCACCAGCACAGATAACTTGTAATGCCTAAGGAAAGAGAAATGTAAGATATTCAAAACAAATATTCCGATTGCTATTCTTCTACTGTATGCAACAGATTTTCTGAATTAACAACAGCTAGACCACAACACGCAGTTTGAAATGCTGACTAACCAGTTATCCATTATCTGATCTGGCAAGGCACATTCTTAAACCCTTATCAAAAAGCTCAGCACTTTTTCTGTTAGACATGATTCAAAGTGATGGAAAGGGATATTGATTATTCCACACTAGCTAGTGCCAAATATGTGGCCTGGTTAAGATGGGCACTCCTAATGACGGGGTCACAGAGATGTAGTAAATATTTTAAATAAAAAAAACTTTTTAGCTCATAAGAACTGAGAAAACCTTGATCAAAGTTTGTCCTGTCTTGTATATTCACAGGTTTTCACCCAGTAAGTACATATTAAAGGGTTAGTTCACCCAAAAATGAAAATTCTGTCAGCATTTACTCACCCTCATGTTGTTCCAAACCTCTATATAATTATTTATCACTTGATGTTATCAAAAATTCCTCTGTCTACACCTTTTCATCCTGAATTGTTCACTGTGTGTCTTAGTAAAACCTGAATATCAAAATATGGTTTGTGCTGGTGCAAGGTGTAAATAAATCTGACACAATAGCGCTGAATAATTTAAAAGGTTAGTTCACCCAAAAATGAAAGTTCTGTCAGTATTTACTCACCCTCATGTTGTTCCAAACCTCTATGTGTTTATTTGTTCTGCTGAACACAAAGGAAGATATTTGGAAGAATGTTTTAATCAAACAGATCTCCTTCCCCATTGACTACCATAGTAGGAAAAAATACATATAATGGGGAATGAGATCTTTTTTTGATTAAAACATTCTTCCAAATATCTTCCTTTGTGTTCAGCAGAACAAATAAACACATAGAGGTTTGGAACAACATGAGGGTGAGTAAATAAATACTGACAGAATTTTCATTTTTGGGTGAACTAACCTTTTAAATTATTCAGCGCTATTGTGTCAGATTTATTTACACCTTGCACCAGCACAAACCATATTTTGATATTCAGGTTTTACTAAGACACACAGTGAACAATTCAGGATGAAAAGGTGTAGACAGAGGAATTTTTGATAACATCAAGTGATAAATAATTATATCAATACAAAAGTAGTGTATGTACTCCACTGTTCAAAAGTTTGAGGTCGGTAATAAGACATTTGCTCCGTCCCAATTCGCAAACTATCCATCCTAACTAGTATTCGAAAATAGAATTAGTACGTCCCAAATCGTAGTATGTTGAAATGTGTGTTCCAAAGAGACCCGGATGTTCTACTATATCCGGTCAGAATCCGAAGTGCAGATCGATGCACACACTAACGGCTGATATTGCCCACAACCCATCATGCATTGGACAAGGCTTCGTTTAGAACTACAAACACGAGTGAAAAGTGTTAAACAACTACAGACATGGAGGACGCGCAAATCCGGCGGTTGTATAAAGAGGTTTAGATAAAGGGGGTTAAGTGATTAATTATCAGTATCTAACCTGACAAAAATGTATTTATTCAATGTTGGCTACATTATTATATTGCATCTGCAGCAGCATTGTGAACTTTTTTAAAGATACGTTTATAGCCATTAACTTTTAAATGCATCATTACATTAAAATTGCAAACACACGAGGAGAGTCTACTTACTCCAGTCTTCAGTGTCACATGATGCTTCAGAAATCATTCTAATATGCTGATTTCTTGTCATTACACTTTTTTTTTAGAATACTTTGATGAATAGGAAGTTCAATAGAACAGTGTTTATTTAAAATATAAACCTTGGTCTAATTCTAAAGGTCTTTACTGTCAATTTTGATCAATTTAATGCATCCTACCTGACTAAAAATACAAATTTCTTAAAAAAATGATTACTGACCCCAAACTTTTGAACCTCAGTTTAGGTATTTATAAAACTGAATCAGAAGCGTCACATTTTCTTACTGACCTTCTCTGAAACATTACAACCCCATCTGCTTTAAGGTCACTGAGCTCCAGCTTACGTCCTTTCTCAATAACTTGTGGGTGTTTGCGGACCAGCAACCAGCCGATGTGAGAAAAGAAGAATCCTCTGCGGGCATTGTGTGGATCCGCATCAGTCTCAGAAAACTTGTGGTGGGCACGATGATCTCTGGCCCACTCATAGACATCATTCTAAAAGGATATAAGTATACATCAGTGGAGTACAAGTGAATGAAAGCTGAAAAAAACAACAACTATCCAGCAGGTAAAAGTAGCACTTTTATCCAAAGTGACTTACAGTCCACATTTTACAGGGACAATCTCAGGTGAACGTTCTAGGGTTAATTGCTTTTTGCTAAAAGGGCACAATGGTGATCGTTTGGCTCTTGTGGGGTTTTTGAACCTACTAGCCCAGATCTTTAACCACTACGCCCAACCACCTTCATCTGAGCTGCATTCACATTGCATAATTTAATGTGGAATATGATTTCATTCACTTAAAAACGTTTTTACCTGGAAAGCCATAGAGTTTGCAACCGCTAGGAAGATTCGTAATGGGAAGGAGGCTTTGTAGGACCTGTGGCTCCAAAGGCGATGGGCACCGGCAGTTATTCCAAGAGCACTTACTATGAAACACACTCCCGCTGTCACATTAAGAGAGAAAACAGAAAAGAATGTTTAAACACATTAGCCTGAACTACACACAGATTCTATAGCGTGTAACGATTTGTGCCCTTGATTCGTTCTATGAGAGGACAGAATGTCTCGCTGTGTGCTGTCAGACCAGGCTGCAAGCGATGTGGGATAACACGCCACAGACAGTATAGAAGGCCACACTGTTATGACCCCGCTCAATTTACAATGGAGAGCCTATTTCAACAGCAATTGTTCTTTGTTCGTCAGGGTGCAATATTATGCGTTGCTGTGATGCCAAAAATCTACACAACAGTGCAGCCCAGTTCAGATTTTGGTTGAATTTCAAGTTACTCACGGGACTGTCTCACTATCACTCACGCACATTTACAATGTTTTTAACATTGTTCTACATAACAAATTTAGGTAGGAAATAGAGGCCTGACTTTCACCTTTGGATAAAATATGACACATTAATGATAATATCAAAGAATAGTAATCACAACTTTAAATCTGTAACAGAATAAATTCACCTGCTTGGCTCAAAAAGAAGGGGGAACCAGGGAGTGTTTTTCCATTTAACCCATTAAGCATGAGCTATAGGGGTTAACAGGTCTATTCTGAGCCAAGAAAGTAAGATTACATGTCTGATTTATCATTTGATTTGTAATGATGTTAATGGATGTTAAATGACAGAACTGAGATCATCATGTTTGATTGACATAAAATTCACACTAATATATCGATTTCCAAAGCACTTCTACTGTACACATGTACAGTAATCCAAAATACTTTACATATTTGTGAAAGTAACTTTACTTTTTTATTATTATATCGTATTTGTCTTAATATAGTTCATTTCTAGGTTTTTATTCGTGATTTTATTAACAGTTCTGAATTAAATCTGTATCATATGTTTAAATGAGGGTTATGTGGGGATGGGGATGGTATAAATATTTACAAGTAGCCTACTTATATTAGTAGGTAGCCTACTTACATTAGTAGGCTACATTTGATTATCACAATAAATTAAGGCACACAATTTTACATATCCATATTTGCTTGCTACAGATCACCCATGCAGGCCTGATTAAGCTGTAAAGGTTGTAACAATAGCACTAACATTGCATTAGTTTAAAGATTTTTTAGCAAACTAAGAAGGGAATAATATAAGCCTGATACAAGAAAACACAAAGTTACAGATAGGCCTTTTACGTCATCTATACATTACCATTAGGCCATAAAATAGAAATGTAACAAACACAGGAACCGTTCAGTTCAATAGAGTCTGAATAAGCGCAATACTCACTCCATATGAATGTTAAGAAAGAGACAGATGGAAGAAGCGTCAATCCATAAAGAGCTCCTATGTGCAATAGAGTCATTAAAAAAACGTTTTTCCATACGATTTGTGCTGGAGATTTCGGGCCCTGATTCTCCTCATACGCATCATCATAAACATCCTCTGTCGTCGTCGTCGTTTCGGCCATTGCTTTCATGCTCGTTGGAGTCTCCTGTAAAGAGAACGAGTCGATTATATTTTCACGACCGTAGGCAAAGAAGAGCCATCTACCATTTTAATTAACTTACTATTATATTAAAAGACAAATCCCTTAAACCATTCATACAATGAATAACGTTACATATTCAATTCTGCGCAAATGGGTGTGACTTCTGTTACAAAAAAGGCACGCGACGAAATAAACGGGCATTCACGTAACTGCTACGCGCTTACCTTGTTTCCGATGCAACTGTAAAAAAAAATATATCGCTATTTGAGCAGGTTCTCCCGTCGAGTGAATGAATTTTTGCGTCTGTTAAGCCTCTGATTTCGTTTAAAATGATGCAATTGGGCGAGGCTGAAGGGATGCCATCCAGCCCTACCACTTTCATTGGTTGCTCGGTTATCTGATGTTCATGATGTGGACGCCATGAACTCTGGTTTTTTGGAAGACAACACCTCAGCTGTTTAATCTCACTGTGTGATACAGATCAGACCATGAATAAATTAGGAAATGCAGGTCTTTGCATTTCTTACACAAAGATTGTGACTATTTCCTAAAATAGATAAAGACTATTTCCTAAATCCATATGGGGTTTTTTTTTATTACCAGAGACATACAGTAACAAATTATATGTTGTGGGCATATAATTGCTATGTATGCACATGGGCTACTGTAAATGTGGCACTGTTTCAATGTAATACTTCCTGCATATGAATAGCCTTGGTAGCCTAAATGTGGTGACTACAATGTATTGCCATTGATGGTTCTATGAAGAACTTTAACATCCTTGGAACTTTTTCATTGGACAAAATGTTCTTTATTTTGGAAAAAGTTTTAGTTCTTTTCAGATCTGTTCACTGAAAGGTTGCTGGGGAACCCAAAATGGTTGAAAATTGGAACTGCTTTTTTGGAGTACAGAAAGCCTTACAACGCTAAAAGACAAATAGGTTTGTATGTAAATGTAATTTAAATCCAAATATTAATATTTATTTTTAAATAGAGATTTGTTGCTAGTTCAGCCTTACTGGTAAACATAAGCCATTTTCTAACCTCTGTTTCCAAAAGAAGAGCTACTCATGCTAAAACAATGCGGTTTCGTCAAGAGAGGAACTATTGATCGTTTTGTGCTAAAATGACAACAACAACTCTATAGTTCTTCAATTAGGCAGTGGGAAGGGCAACTATAATTTTCCATAACCAGATCTCATCTCTAATTTCAAAATGTAGCCTACTGAACACATTACTGTAATTGAATGGGATTGTATTTTGCATTCATATTCACTGTGCCTTAGCTAAGCCAATCTGGTCAAAAATCAACTTTACATAATGTTTTCTCGATCAGTGCCTTTTTATTTTCCCTAGGTCTGTAAGTGATTTCATTGTAAGCATGCTTCATCCAAATCATCACCCCTTCCCAGTCACACGTCATTGTGCCATACTCCATGTCCAAATTAAAAGAGAAAGAGCATGGCACGTGAAAATGGCTATACTAGAAGGCTATATGTTTGTTCTGTGGTGCACTGTAGATATTTTCAAATGTGAACACTCTGTTAATGCTTACGGAATGTGTCCAATTGTCACAACTAATCATACTTACCATCAGACTTCAAAAATCCTGTGAGTATACATAAATACACAGGCTTGTCTTTACATTTATATATTCATGTATGTAGCACTATACAAGAGGGATGATGCAATAGTACCCTCTAGTGATAATGCAAGGGGCCTGCTAGTATTTTATGTGGGCTAGTATCTATGAGATACTATTTTAGTTACTATTAATATATTGATTTATTTTTCTTTTTTAAACTTTTAGTAAATTTGTTTTTGTCGTTTTCATTAGTTTTCATTAAGAGAAATGCAGAGCTGAAGTCGTATTTGAATAAATTTTACAGTTTATTTTATTTCAAGTAACAAACCTTTTTAGTTAACTAAAACTTTTATGGATTTATTTCATTATAGCATATATAATGCGTGTATATACACACACATTATATGTTATGATGAAATAAAAGCATAAAAGTTTTAGTTAACTAATAAACTGTAAAATTAATTAAAATATGACTTCAGCTCAGCATTTCTCCTTTTTGTTTTGTTTAACCTGATGTACTAAAATCCAGGAATATATATATATATATATATATATATATATATATATATATATATATATATATATACATATGCATATATGCATGAGAGAGGTTCGGGGTCTTTAGCTTGTGCAATTTCTCAGTAAACACTGCTTCAAGTCTTGTAAGTATGCAGGTGTGGGTTTAATGTTCAAACCAAAAGTTTTCAACAAAATAACTTAATCTTCTTTGTTTCACAGACTTGTCTTTTCCTAACCACACACACAGCATTCTCCCACACCTCCTATTAGACCCTGCTGCTGGTCTTTTTAACTGCAGCTGCAACTATAATCTCTGGCAGCCTGGGTTTTGTAGTCCTTAATAGGCAGCCATCTTGCTTCTAAGTGTGGTGACCTGGGAGTGTTAGTTCTTAACAAGATAGAGTCATTTTAGAGCAATGTATCTGCCCTAACACGGCTCTCATGATGCCACAATATATCATAATTCTAACTGAGTAACTGCATTAATAATTTTTCATAGACATTTAATAGCATATAACAGACATTTACTGGAAAAGTAGCCACTTTTCTTTTTAAACAATCTCTATCGCTCAAAAACAAGCACTAGTTCACAGTGAGTAGTGTGTGGAAACAGGTCCACAGGGACAGCCACAGTTGGTTTGAAGGCTTCACCAGTGATGTTTCTCTTAAAACCAGAGCAAAGCTCTCTAAAGTTCCTCATTGCCTCCCCATCAGGTTTGCATGATATATAGACAAGCCTCCTTATGGCTGGGTGGTTCCTCAAAGCTCTGACAACTCGATAATGTAGGCCAGCCCGGGACGGATTCACAACAGCTGTCAGTCCGCCATCAGAATTCAAAGTGGGCATCATATTTGGCAGAACAACTTCTGCTTTGCCTGAGAAAAATTGACAATTATTTACTCTGTTTAGAGCTGCATTAAACTTGGCGTCCTCGACCGCCTGCTCAATGAGCTCGATGCCAATGACTCTCTCCATCTGTGGGGATAACGAAATGCCAATGGCTCCAGTACCACAGCATACATCCAGCAGTGTGCCCCCAACACAAGCTCGATTCAACTCCGCAACAGTTTTGTACAAAGCTTCCGCTGCTCCCCGATTCACCTGGAAGAAAGAATCAGCAGAAATGCGGAACTTGAAGCCGAGCACCTCCTCAAAGATATAGGGCTGTCCGTGCAGAAGCTGATAGGGGGATTGTTCATTACTGCAACGGGTCATTGTGCTCTCCTGGAAATAAAGAGAATCTAGCTGACAAACTGCTCCGGGACCATGAGCGAAGTACTCCACCAGAGCAGCTTTATGGATGCAAATATCCTCAGGCCTTAGGTTTTGAGGATGGAAGTAGACAATGGCCATGGTATGACCGGCAGAACTGGTTCTTATCGTGATTTCTCTCCAGTGGCCACCATCATGAAACAAGATGCATGGTCGGAGTGGTGAACGTCGTATAAAATCTTCATAGTACCTTGCAACCATGCTGTGTTTTGAAGGCATGTTCAGTAGATGGTCACCATGGACACATACTATGTTACCCGTTCTTCCATTGCCAATATAAAATCCAACAGTTTTTGGATTCCCATCTTTCCCTTTGTTGACAGAGAAGGTTGATTTATTGCGGTATCCATCTCTCACTGGTGAGGGTACTATGGATAGGAGAGGGAATCTTAAGTCGTTTGAAAAAGGGAGCATTGAATCCTGAGCCAGTTGCTTTGTCATCTCAAGCAAGATTTTGTGCTGCTGGTCTTGTTTCCATTGGAGCTGCTTCTCATAATTCATTCTCCACAAAGGAGTCACAGTGTCAGCCAGTCTTTCTTCCCAAGAAAGAGTGTGCCAGTCAGCTGGTAGTTTGGGGTTCCTTTCATTTCTTCTCTTTACAGGCTTACAGGAAGTACTGACACCACAGCGGCTGGTAATTAAATAACCAAAACTTATTTTTGGTACAGTGACGATTTTTTTCACCAATGGCCAGGTTAAATGTAAGCGCATTGTTTCATATGCACGCGACATTGATGCCGACTTCTAGTCCGTGCAGTGAGCCCGTGGGGTCACACGCTCAAACAGTGCTGTAGTCTAAATATATTCCACCTCGCTATTTAAAAGTGTAAACAGTCTGCAAAAACAAATTTTGTTCCTTCTACCTTTTTTCCATGTGCCAAGTTGACAACATTTTGTTACGGCGCTCTAATGACGCTTCTTTCTTTACTAGTGCGCCCACTCTGCTTTCAGACCGCAACAGTCGGTTACCGGAAGTAGGCCTACTACTTTTAACTTATTTGTATTTTATTATTATGCTTCAACAGCACAAACAAACAATGTACATTATCAAATCTCTGAATATAACAGCAATTGTTCAGCCTTAGGTTGAGCAGTACTACTTTTAACTATTTCTTTTATTTTATTTTTATTAGTCTACTATAATATGCGGCTATAATTACACGTTCCAATCGTGACAACCTACACCGTAAAAGTTGATTAAATAAACAAAAACAATTAAAAAAAAGTAATGAATAAAAAGATCAAGAACTAGTCCTTCTTTATTTTGCATTGTAAAAATGTATCATTGTTTGCTTTGTAAATACAAATGTAGGCCTACAGTTCTGTCAATCTGTAGAAAAGCAAAGTAGCTACCACATAGTTTCATTTACATGCAAGAGTAATCAGTATAAACAAAAGAACGAATAAAAGATGAGTAAAATATTTATAAATGAATGAGATTTTAAAATTTTTTAAATAAAAAAAACAATAAATAAAAAAATTAAGAAATAAATCATATTTGATGTAAAACACTGATAAGTAGTTTTACTGGTAAACGTTACCAATAATATAACCAAACCTTTTTGATATTTCTTCAGGATTATATATATAGCCTATATACATACATATTCTATGTATATATTGTGCGTCTCATATGCATGTATAAGTTTATATTGTAAAAGTTGTTATTTTATCACACATAGGCCTAATTTAGTATTATTTATAATTTTTAGTTAAATAGCCTAGGCTAAAGAAAATATTTAGTGGATATTTAGAAGTGAAATATTTAGAAGTGAGTCTTTTATAGCAGTTTATATTGTAGCGTTTTTATCTTATCACAAGTAATTTATTATTATCATCGTCATTATTTATAGTTTTAAGTAATTTCACAATAATGGGAAACCTCAGCTTACAGAGTGGACGTTCTATCCGCGAGTGAAAAACTCTTAACTTTGTTGCAAACGTCATCAAACTGCGTCTTTTGGTTCAGGAAAGAGATCAGTCATCAGTTCCGCCGTCGCAATGGAATC